GCAGTAGCAGAGTTTGATTTTGCTCCAAAAGGTGTAATATATAGTAATGGTAAATTGAATGATTTTCTGTCTCTCTGTGTTTGTTCAGCCTAGGGAAGAGATGTTTCAGGAACGATCTAATCCTGGTTTCTTAACATGTAGAAGATATTTCCAGAGAAGACAGAGGCACTTCCTTCACAAGTATGCATGGTGACAAGACAAGAAGTGACAGAAATAAGTTGCTTCATGGGAAATTCTGTCTGGATATATATATATATATAAAAAAAATCTTCACTGATTGAGAAACAACTGTGAGGTTACCCAAAGAAGTGGTGGAATCTACTCAATACTCAAGACTCAGTTAGACAGGTATTCAACAACCTAATCTAAGGCCCTGATTTCAACACCAAGTGATCTCCAGAGGTATCTGCCAGCCTAGACTCTTCTATCATCCTGTATGTGCAAACACTTAAAAAAACCCTCAAAACACCACAAGAAAAAAAAAACCCAACCACTAACGGGTGAAAATGAAAAAAGATACATAATTTTGTTCATACATATAATGGAAAGCATATTATTTGTCTCATCACACAGCCCTTAAATTTTAAGGAAACTTTTCCAGTTAACTTATGAAAAAGACAAGCTATTTTAAAAGGAAAATAACACTGGTGTTTTATTACAATGGAAAACTGCAGGATTTAAGTCCCATTTATTTTACTAATGATACCTTATGTATGAAAGGCCTTATACAAGCTAAGAGTCTTCAGCTTCCTGTCTGAATGCTAAATTAAGGCTTCTGTACCCTTGTTCAGATTCTCAGATTGAAAACATTTGTGCCTGCAAATAGTCCTGGTGTGCTTTTTGAGGTTTTTTTCCCCATAAATACATAGTTTGGGGGCTTTCAGCTTGTCAAACTCCTTTCCTGATCAGTGGTGATGAGCAAAATCAAGGGTTCAACTTTCAGTCTTGCTTACGGAACACATCCATCCATCCATCCATCCATCCATCCATCCATCCATCCATCCATCCACCCATAGCTCTCTTCCTAGCAGATTAAGAACAGTTTATTCAATGATAAAAATGGCAGCAGAGCCATACAAAAGCCTACATTTGAATGCAGTTTCATTGATAAAACCCCTTACCTTTAAGCATTACTTATGTCTATGCAGCTGAACATTGGCAGTAAATGTAAATTCTTTTTGAAAAGTAAGCATACAAAGGGTCTGGTAGCGTTGTATGCTCTGAATCAATAATCTGGAGGATTCTTACACACATTCTTGAAGAAAAATACAGTGTCAGTTTTGTCACTATGCTACAAGTCTTTCATTGGTACATTGGCCTTTATTGCAACAAACTAACAGGTTGGTATTACAAGGATACCTACAGAGCACGGTGCCTTATATTCCTCTTATTAGGAGTTTTGGCATAGTATTTCCACTTGGAGAGAGGTCAGATTACAGCCTATCTAGGCAGAGATATTTTTATCAGAAGCCATCTAACATTTGGACAAGTGATTATTCAATTATTCAACTACTGAACAGCAGCTCCTTCAGTCCGAAGGCTTCTCTTCCTTGGAGTCACTGCAATCATGACTTTCCTTTCTTCCAGGTTTACTCATATTCCTGTTCAGATAAATCCAAAGACCTTGTTAGTCTATTTTTACTTACAAACTCTTATTGCACAGTGCATGCCCTGATCCCTCCTAGCTACAAAAATACTGAACTTGTTTATCATTTTGACAGATACATGATAAAGCATAAATGGGAGCTAGGTAATCACTGCATGTGAAAAAAAAAAAAAAAAAGAAAAGCTTAATTATAAATTAATGAGACCAAGACTTCTATCTCTGTCCCCTTTTACACATCTGCAAGTTTTCTGTAAGCTGTTTCACACTGAACTTTCACCATTCAATGCATACATATGCCAGTAGGATCAGCATCTGAGCTCATATTTCCATACACACCTTCTCTTGTCGTGATGGTAACTCAGCCTGCACTTTCAGACCATGCTCTGAAAGCTCCTCATTTATAAAAGGGAATTATAACTCCTGGAATAAAGGCTTATATTAAATACACAGGCAAATTGTGTCCACTGCATGAGAGCTGGTGGTGGGAAGTGGGAGAGATACATCTGTTCACTTATGAATTCTGTCTGCTTTCAAAGGTACTGTCTAGGGCACAGCAAGACAAGCAGGAAGAACTGGCATGGAACACTTGTCTTGTGTTTGCCCACTATGAATTCTGCTACCAGTGACTTTGCTTTCAAATAGCTTCTCTCTCTCGAGGTAGGCTTAGCAAGGCAGAAGGGGATACTTGGATATGCCCCTTTTCCTTCCCTTTTCCTTCCCACTGTCATCTCTCATGCAAATGAGGGAAGGGAAAGGCAGGAAAAAGGTCAACACCTCTTCCAGACACTTAGCATTGCATTAAAGGAAAAATAAAATTCACTCAAAGCACATCAGTCCAATACAAGCCTGAAAAGCAGAACCTGGATAATTTGTTTCCAGGAAAAGTCTGGCAGTGTGTTGATATTGCTATAAAAATATTTATTCTTAGCTTCTAGCTAAGGTAAAATATGGATGGCAAGTATCCACCAATTAAAAACCACAAGTTAGAGACACTGAGGGAGAAGAAGGGAGACTATTTTAACACTAAATGTTTTCTTATAGGGACAGTATTATCCACTTTTTAGTAAGCAGTGCCTTGAATGTAGCGTGATGAAGGAGAATGGTCAATTAACCTCTTTGTAGTACCTTGGGTTACAAGAAACAATATCTTTGTTTTAGAAATCAAGTGTTCTGTTTTCATATTCCACTGGCAAACGGAGCTCTGTGCAAGGGAAATGTTTTAAATGAGTTCAGCTCTAATGCTTCAGCTCAGTGGAAGTCAAGCTGCTCATGCTTACAGTGTTTGGCTCAGCCTGAGGGACCACTTTCTTTCTTCAAATCCCTGGGAATTGAGAGGCAGGACTGTCTCCTCCACCGATACTCCCAAGCTTCTTGCCTCTGCTTCTTCAGCCCCAGAGCAATGAGCATCTCCCAAGGGCCAATTTGAACTCCCATTCCAGTCTAACCACAGGGCAATTACCAGAAAATAGGTGTTGTACAAAGGAAGAAGCACTAGTTTAAATGCCAGTCCCTCCTACCCAGAAACTTGGAATACATGAGCATATAGAAACCTAAATTTTATTGAACAGCGGGGACTGTTTATGGCACTGGGTATTCTTGTGTATAATTCCAAAGTGATTTGTGAACACAAGATGTGCTTGATGTTTGGTAATTGTAACTATCAGAGTGAAAAAGACTCCCTAAGAGGATTACCATGCCACCAAATGCCATTCACCCTGGCTGAATTGCTTGTAGTGTTTGGTGGAGTTTGTCGTGCTGACTGACAAAGCAATGCTTTCAGTGTTCCTATAATTTTGTTTTTCAGCAAGACATGAAATTCCCAACAGTTGTACATGAGCACTAATGTTGCACTTTAGAAGGGGTGAGGGTGAAGTGAAGTAAGGTCATGCTGCTGGTTTTTGAATAGTAACCAACACACTGTTTTTGCTCAGCATAATAGTTGCTACTTGTGTGATGATGACTTCAGGAATAGGGATGGTGTTGCTGGAATTCACTACAGGTAATCCCTGGGATTGGGAAACACTGCTCATAAACTTGCCCATATGGTCTGAACCCAAAGAGTCACGGTCTACTTGATTTTTAGTCAACATCCAAGGCAAATGTTGTCAGCAATTTGTGCAGAACTGTAAGAAAAAGAGATAAGACATAAAAGAAAACAAACATAAGACAGACTGCTTGACAGCCACACTGGAACAGCCAGATTTCCTTGCCAACGTTACACTGTGGTAAGGGCAGGTGAGACCTTTCAGCCCTCGGAGCAAGCAAAGAGGCTGCACCAACACTAAAACCTGCCAGGCAGCCAAAAAACCGAATTACGGTCTTCATCCTGCTTGCAAGTCAGAGTAAATATTATCACCCCGCTGAAGAGGGCAATTATTTTATCTCCTTTATCAGATATTTTGTTAAAACGAAGCTGGAAACGCAATGTTTGCCAGGGGCGATGATGGTCAGCGAACCCCTCCAGGAGAGGGGAGCTTGAGAGGCGCGGGCAGTGACCCCGCTCTCACCTGCTGCCCGGGCATGGCTTTACGAGCGCAGATTTCCTCAGCTCTACACACACACACACGCACTTTTTCCTCCGTGACGAACAAGCCCAGACCAGCGATGGCAGCCTGGCGTGCCGGGCTCCGGGCCAGGGCGGCTCTGCCCCAACATGGCACTTGCTGCCGCTCGGGGCGGCCCCGGGCTCGTCCCTCAGCGAGGGATCCGTTCACAGCCGAGGGAAGGGGCACCCTCCCGGCGCTGATGGGTGACGGGAGGACCCGGCAGCAGCGGCCGGAGCTCGACCGGCTCGAAGTGGAGCCTTCGCGCCCTCCCTCCCCGGGACGGGATCGCTGCCAGCCCCGGGAAGTCTCCCCAGGCCGCTTTGGGAGCCGCGACTCCTTCCCCCTCAGACCGCTCCTGTGAGGGGGCTCCGCCCTGAGCATCGCCCCGTCCTTCCCGGGAAAGCCCTGGCCCCGCTGCCACCGCCCGTCCCGCCCGTCCCACGCCCGGGAGGCACCGCCGCCCCTCGCCGTGCGCGGCTCCCCCGGACGATCCTGCTGGGCGCTCGGGAGTACCGAGTCACTCCTGCGGGAGGCTCAGCGCCGCCCAGCCCCGGGGACAGGGACAAGCGCCCGGTTGGTGGCATCCCGTGCGCCCCGTCCAGGCGCCGCGACCCGGGGAGGGGCGGGGGCTGCGCTGCTGGGACCAGGACTGAGAGCAGGAATGGGACTGGGACTGGGACCGGGACCGGCCGCGGGGTACGGCGAGCCGAGCGCCCCCGGGCAGGGCCGGGCGGCGCGGCTGGATGCCCGCCCGCCTCCGAGTGGGAACGGGCGGGGAAAAGTTCCTCCCGTGCGCGCCCCGTCCCTCCCTCCCTCCCTCCCTCCCTCCGTGCCCGCGCACTCTCTCAGCCACACACACGCTCACACCCCTTCTCCCGCCGCCAGCTGCCGGGGGGCACTTTTGAAAGCCGCTCCGGTTCCACACCCAGCCGCCGCTGACATCATTCCCGCAGGGAGGGCGGGCGGAGGCACCGCCGCCAGACGGTCGCAGCCCGCGGAGAGCTGCCCCCGGCCCGCGCCCGTGAGTACCGCGGGGATGCGGGGGGAGCGGGGCGCGCTGGGGGGAGCGGGGAGGAAGAAGCCGCAGAAAAAGGGGGAAAAAAATAAAAAAAATAAAAATCACGGGTTTGTTTACTGCGAAACGCGTTTTATTTCGGTGCCGCGCCGTGGCCGGCCCGGGCGGGGAGAGCGGCCCCGCTGTCGCGGAGCCCCGGCCTCGCTGCCTCGCCCCGGGGGCTGCGGCCGTCGGGGAGGGGGAGCGGGCCGGGCCGAGGGGCTCCTCGCCAGCACTCCGGGCCGGGCCAAGCCGGCGGAAAGTTCGCGCTCTCCGCGGGATGGTTGCTTTGCTTTGCTTTCTGTTCTCTTCTGTAATGAACTTTCGGCGGAGTTCGCGTGTGCTGCAGTAACGTGTGGCTGCTCTTGGCAGCTGCTCCCCCCCCCGTCCCCCCAGTGGAAGGAAAATACACTTAGATGTAATTCAGCGCAGATTTTTATGAAGTTTTTGCCAGCGTTAAACGTTTTTCTGCTTGAGTCAAACTGCAGTTTCACTCGCTGGTGGTTTTTATCTGTAAGTAATGTCCCACTTACACTGGAGAGGTTGTGTGCCAGATACCAGACAGGCAGCTCTCGGTGATATGGGTTGCCTGCAATATTGAGTATTGAATTTGAGAGGTCAGCTCCTTGTTTGGACATTTCTAGGAAGAATAGAGCACTGCTGGCCCTTCCTCAGCAGACAGGGCTTGCTCCTACTCACAGAATCTGCCACTAAGAAACCTGCAGCTGCGTTTCTCTGTTAGTTTCTTGGCAGAAGTACTTTGTTCACATGGTGCAGGAAGATCCGTTTTTTTCCAAGCACCTGGTTATAGTATGTAAATGATCAGTTATTGTTGTAGTTGAACATCTTAGAAGTATCTTCTGACTTGATACAGGGCTGTGAAGAAACCCACTGAGTAGCTTTAAAATATACACTGGATTTTCTTGGAGTTTTCTTTAGGAACTTTGAAAATAAACAGCTATGGTTGGCTAATCTCCATCAGAAAAAGTGGAACTTTCTCTTCACTTACTTTCAGACTCTGTACAGTGCTGGTGTGTTACCTATGTAAAATAAGCCTTCTTGCCTGCCTGAGCATTTTTTTTTTTCCTGTCAAATAAAAGTAGTCTGTAATGACTCCTTCATTCAGACCTGCTGTAGGATGTTGATTTTGAAGGCTTTGCTGTCCAGGTAGGTTAAGCTCAGGAAGGAGCTGTGTAGCTGGACTGCCAGAGCTGAGATGCCAGGTGGCTGCAGACGTGGGCAGGCAGGAACCCACACAAATGGAAGGGGACTATTGGGCATGAGTTTCACTGAGGGAAGAAGCATGAACTGCAGTTTGCTGGAGAGTCCTGCTATTTTTTTGGGAGTGTGTGACAGATACCATCCTAGGGAATGCAGCTGGAGTACAGCTACTTAGCACAGCTGGTGACATCAGAGTGGGAGTGGAAACAAAGATATAGGGAAAAACCATGGTCACCAGAAGCTGATATGAGTTTATTCAGCATAAGATGTAAGGACCTGACCTTTGCTTCAAAGACATCGAAAGAAAGAACTATTACCGTCCTCTAAATCCCTTTGTGAGCTTGTAGAGTTGAGTTAGGAAATACTGTTGGGATATCTGAGGGAAGACTCATCCTTTATGCTGAATAAAGATGTGTACAGATTTTATCGTGCCAGCTGTGTGGCTGACATGGATGTTACCAGGTCATCTGTCTGCCCAGCTGGGAATCCAGGAATTACTCTGCCAATAGCCATCAACATTAACTGAGATGAAATGGAGCAATAACCTGAAAACTCTTAGGAGGTGATCAGTTTCTTGTTAGTATACTCACTGGGGAAGGAAAATGGTCTGTTAATATAATTCAAAATAAAAACAACTTACAGTCAGTAGACAAGACACTACTGGTGTTGTATTCTTTATTTGTGGTCTGGAAAGACTTCTATCGTAAGCACACAAACAGTGTTGATTATGCTGTGGATCTGCCAGCGAGGAAAAACAGTGAATTCTATTTGCTTACACAGATTTAAAACCTTGCTAATAAAGGAAGTTGTTCAACAGACTGAGCAGGTCAAGACTGAAGGCTGCTGCAACATCGTTCTCTTAGACAAGGATTCTGCCTCAGTTCTTAGGTGCTGTAGTTATTGTTGCTGACCAACAATGCTTGAAGAAATTAAGATCTCCATCTTATACCCACTTTCAGTTAATGCACTCGACCCCTCTTGCTTTATTAGCATCTCTTGCTCCACAGTTGCCTTGTGTCTTTCTCTTTAATTTGTTGTCTTGTTTGTCTCAAGGTTGTTTCCCATCTTGGGTTTGACATTCCTGCACTGATTAGAAGAAGAATGTTGTACTCATTAGTCTCATGTGGATATTTAGACAAGCAAGACTTTCCTCCACTTTTGCTAAGTATGTTGTTGTAGTCTGTCTCCTTTCATGATGCTGTTTCCCTGTCCATTTAAAAATTAGCACAAGGCAGCACAAGGAGACTCTTCCCTTTTCACCTCAGTGGCCTGAGTATATTTTGGTTTTCCACTGGCACTTCATGTTCTATTTGTGTCTTGAGCATCATGTAAGACATGCCATCACCACATAAATCAGTACAAGAATGTGTTTAATTAAAGAGATAAATAGGTCTCTGGGGACAAGATCTTTTATATTGCTAGCTGGCAGATGTACTTGCCAGGTCCTCCTCCATGTTCCTGTTGGAAGAAGACCCAGCAGAATGAGGCACTGTGTTACACAGGAACCAATAAGAAAGAGATTTACTCTGAAGCAAAGCAAACATTTTATGTAAAATCCATGCGATACTTCAGCACAGCCAAATTTGAAAGTAGAAAGGAATGCACAGCTTTTATTGAAATCACAGTGGTCTCAGAGGGAATGCAGGGGAAACATAAGCACAACACTAAGGAATTCCATTCATGGAGCTGTTTGTTAAGGTTTGTTTGGTTTTTGGATCCTCAAAGCAAACCAGTGATCTTTGCAGTGGAGTTTAAGTCTTCACTGTTTTTGTTGAAAGCTTTGCCATTTTAAAGAGAAGATAATTTTGTAAAATATATCAAAATGTCAGGTGATGCTCATGGCTTCATTAGGAAGATAAGCATCTTAATTCTTAGAAAATAAATCTTGCTGGGTGGGATTCAAGGGAAAGCCTGATGTCCTGAATTCATCCATCAAAGGAATTATTATTTCTTCACTGAATGGGGAAAATGTAATTACGCCTTTTTATTTTGCCGATGAAGTTTCATGGGCAGGTTTAATGATGGTATGTGCATGCCAGGTGAAGCCTCATAATTTGGGTGTGACCTTAAAATACAACCCTCTGGCTGTGAAGAGATCTTCACAGGAGTCTGTAGGTGGGGCAGAAAGTGGCCTGACTCAAATACCCCTTAGAGATGGCTATAGGATATATATTTATGCTTTACTGCACTGATTCTTAAAGGCTACACTGTGTTTGGAACTCCACAGGCCATAAACAGCCAAGGTGGGCAGTATGAACACTCCCTCAGGTGTTTGATGCAGGTGTTTAAGTGTCCTGAAATACACCAAAATTCTGGTCTTCTTCCATACAGAAAGCAGCCTTCCAGAGGCTGTGGATGTCTCTGCTGAGCTGCATCTGCTGATAGTGGTCTCTGCTGACTCACCTGCTCTCTAGGGCTGGCACTGCTCAGTCCACAGAAACAACAAACCAGCTGCTGAGCCTGCCCATCTGTCACATGCCAGAGGGCTTGATGTGCCTTTGAGGGGCACTGATGCTGCTGTGAAATGTGGCTCTGCAGGGACCCAGCACTCCAGGGGCCCCCAGCCTGGCCAAGGTGGAGCCACAGGGTAGAGCAGAGCTGAGGTGGGGCAGGCAGAGGTGACTGGGCTGTTCCCATCCAACAGCAGAGTGTAGAAGAGCTGTGCAGTGAGTGTGCTCAAACAAGGGTTAGAAATCCTTCAACCTGGACTTGTAATGTTCACATAGGAACCCTAAAGTTTTACTTTAATTGTGCCCGTTGCAAATTAAAACGTAGAAACGGCATTCTGGACGTCGGCTGGGTATTCAGTCATATGCTGCAGTGTTGCTGCGAAACAAAGTAGTAGTAGTTGTGGAAGAGTTTGCTCTATTTTATAGCCAACTGTTGTACCATCAATAGAAATGTATTTTCACACTCTTGATAGATGATGTGTAAACTCTGAAATAACTAAAACCGAAATTTCTCAATACAGAGATAGTCAAAGCCAAATCAAAACAAGCAGTTTGAAAATTTTACAACAGCGAATGCAACACATTTCATTGCTAGCGATTTCCACAGAGCATCTGCCAAAGTTAAAACAATATCAGCTTTCATTTCTACAGAATTAAATGCATTGCTTTCGATCTGGAAAGACAGACCTTTTCTGCTTTTGTTTGTTGGTTAATTAGGTGGAACAGCATAAATCACTCGAGCCGTTCTGTTGTATCTGGAATAATCTCTGGATAAGCAGCAGTCTGTAGTGAGTAGACTCCAGGGTCTGAGATTTGCTCTCAGAACTGTGTTAATGTGTAGTCAGTGCTGCAGGTATACTTTTTTTCCTCTTCTTTCTTCTCGTTGACTAAGACTGAGGATACATTTAATCTGTCAACCTGTAGAAGGTCTGGTATGATTCTTGGTCTGTCACTCCCTGCCCTGCCAAGGTATTGAACAGGGACAACCTTGACACTGAAATGTGGCCACGCAGTGATTGAGCAGGGGTGAGGCCCGGCCACACCTCACTTCAGCTATTTGCCTCAGAAGCAGGTTCCCAGGAGGTCCTCATAGCTTGAATAGCTTATCAGTGAGCCCCGGGTCTTTGTCCAGCTCCGTGGAACGGCTGATTCCCTGAGCCAGAGGCAGGGCTGTGCCAGCAGGCTGTGAAGACCTCTGTGGTTCCTGACCACTGCCCTTGAGTGTTGGGAGGCAACAGTAGCCCTTAGGTCACCCTCAGACAAGGGGGACAGGCCTTGCTGTCTCTTTGAAGCTTT